CCTTTAAAAAATTATTATTTAATCCTTTTTTGAGCCACATTAAAATTTTCAATCTTCTACTCATTTTCAACCACACATTGTTCAATAAAATAATATTTTTCATCACATCAATAACTTTTCCTTATTTTTCAACCATGCATTCTCTATCAATCTATTATTTCAAAATGTTTTATTCCAAAATAATGTGAGTCAAACACTGGACTCTTTTTTCTACGATCACAATGATGGTCAAACGCGCTCTAATAATATCTACAAAAACCATTCTACACGGACCAAAGTCATATCAAAATGCCGTTCTTGTTTTAAATTTTCCTGTAACCATTCAACAAAGGACCCCAACAAAATTCCACAAAAGCAAAACCCACCGGTTTCTTCTCCCTTAACGATAATTATGCTTCCTCCTCTATGCAGATCCATATTCACTTTTCTTCTGCTAATTTTCCTGCTTTTTCCCAACTTGGTTTTCTCAGAAGACGACATAAAGTGCTTGCAGGAAGTTAAAAGCTCATTGACTGACCCAACAGGGAAGCTTAATTCGTGGAGGTTCTCGAATTCTTCCGTTGGATTCATCTGTAGTTTTGACGGGGTTACGTGCTGGAACGACCGAGAAAATCGGCTTCTCGGCCTGCAACTCCGGGACTACAGCCTCGCCGGGAAAATCCCGGCTTCTTTACAGTTCTGCCACAACCTACAGAATCTCGATCTCTCTAGTAATGCCCTCTCCGGTTCGATCCCACCTCAAATTTGTACTTGGTTGCCTTATTTGGTTACTTTAGATTTGTCCCATAATGAATTTTCTGGTGAAATCCCTGCTGATCTCGCCAATTGCACGTATTTGAATAACTTGATTTTGGATGATAATAGATTGTCTGGGAATATTCCGATTCAGTTTTCGAGTTTAGGAAGGTTGAGAAGGTTTACTGTTGCTAATAATGATTTATCTGGGAGAGTCCCCGAGTTTAATTATGATTTGGAGCTTGATTTTGGTGGGAACAGTGGACTTTGTGGAGGATCTTTGGGAAAATGTGGGGGGCCTGGGGGCTTGAGTAAGAAGAATTTGGCAATTATTATAGCGGCCGGGGTTTTTGGTGCGGCAGGTTCTCTGTTGTTAGGGTTTGGTTTATGGTGGTGGTGTTTTAGTAAGAAAAGAAAGAGGGGATATGGGATTGAAGGGAGAGATGAAGCTAGCAGTTGGGTTGAAAGATTGAGTGCTCACAAGCTTACTCAAGTTATGTTGTTTCAAAAACCACTAGTGAAGGTTAAGTTGGCAGATTTATTGGCGGCCACGAATGGTTTTAGCGCGGAAAATGTTATCGTCTCGACTAGTACGGGGACGACGTACAAGGCGGTTTTGCCGGACGGGTCGGCACTTGCGATTAAGTGGCTTAATACTTGTAAGATGGGGGAGAAACAGTTTGGGCTGGAGATGAATAGGTTAGGGCAACTTAGGCATCCAAATTTGGTGCCTCTATTGGGGTTTTGCTTGGTGGAGGAGGAGAAGCTCTTGGTTTATAAGCATCTGTCTAATGGGACTTTGTTTTCGATTTTGAATCGTAATGCGGTTGCTTTGGATTGGACAACAAGATTTAGAATCGGTTTGGGCGCTGCACGAGGACTTGCGTGGCTTCATCATGGTTGCGATCCTCCTATATTGCATCAAAACATTAGCTCCAACATTATTCTCCTCGATGAGGATTTTGATCCTAGGATAATGGACTTTGGTTTGGCAAGACTCTTGACTTCAGAATCTGATGAGAACAGTTTCATCAATGGGGATTTAGGTGAATTTGGATATGTAGCTCCCGAGTATTCTAGCACAATGGTAGCTTCTCTTAAAGGGGATGTTTACAGTTTTGGGGTTGTACTTCTTGAGTTAGCAACGGGGCAAAAAGCTCTTGAAGTCAGCATGTCCGGGGAAAGATTTAAATGTAATGTAGTGGACTGGGTACACCAGCTCTCGGGTTCTGCTCAAATCAAAGATGCTATCGATAAAAGCCTGTGCGGAAAGGGCAATGACGAGGATATCGTGAGGTTCTTGAGAATAGCATGTAATTGTGTCATTTCTCGGCCCAAGGATAGGTGGTCTATGTATCAAGTCTATGAATCACTCAAAAGCATGGCTGAGGAACACGGTTTCTCAGAACAGTACGACGAATTTCCCCTACTATTTCGAAAACAAGATACGGAAAGTCCCATTTGACTTTGGGATATTTGTAAAGTCTCTTTCCACAATCCGTGGTAAATTTCCAGAAGCAGACAATTTTTTATTTTACTTTTTGAGCGGTACGCTTTGCTCTCTCACGATCCTTGCTCTAAAACCCGTGCCATATTATAACTGTATTTTGTATAATATAATAAGGTGAGTAAGTGTAATCTATTTGCTAGAAATTTGTAGTAAGAAAAAGCCCCATAAATTAAATGATATAGATGAGAGAGTAAAGGCCATGAAACAAGGTCCCTTTGACATGGCAAGGAGTTCGAAGAATAGCAGCATATTGAGTAGAGGACGAAGCACTCATAAATCTACTAACATAAGTATATCATAAACAATATCAGGGCGTGTGACATTAATATATATGACATTACCTAGGTCACAATCTCAAATATATAAATTTGTGGATCACAATTACGTATTTAATCATAAATTAAATATTTTTAATATGTGACGAATTATTTATTAATCAGAAATTATCCAATTAAAATCCATCACAACCACCCGTCACCCCACCCCACCCCACTCCACCCCACCACTTCAAATCTACAACTACCCACCCTAGGGATGGCAAAAAAGCTCGTCGCTCGGGCGGCTCGGGCTCGACTTGGAAAAAGCTCGAGCTGGACCCGGCTCGGACTCGGTTACACCGAGCCTCATTTCTTTGATCGGGCTTTGTTCGGCTCGGCTCGGGCCAAAAAAAGCTCGGTCCCAAAAGACTCAAGTCTAGCCCGAGCTTTTTTATTTAATTTATAGTACGTATAAACAATACAAATTTTGAATTTTTCAAGCAAAAATATAGATTGACATTAAAAAAAAAACCCAAAAGGCTCGGTACGAGCTCGGCTCGGCCCGCTAAGGCTCGGACGGAAAGCTCGGGCCAGGCCTCATTTTTTTTGGCCGAGCTAAGCTCGGCTCGGGCCCAAAAAAGGTTGGCCTAAAAAAGATCGAGCC